ACAGCCGCAGATGCGTCACGCCCCCCGCGTGCTTCTTCAGCACCGCCTCTGCATGTGCGCGCTCGCGCCCCACCACAGTGCCTGCTAGCGCGAGCACCCTCGGCGTTGGGCACGCCACCGTCAGCCACGTATCCAGCTCCTCCCCGACCGGCGGTCCCCGGTCCGGCCCGCGAAACGTGATCTTCACAGCGGCCCACAGCGCGGGAAGCCGGAGTGCGATCGCACGCCAGCTAGCGCACACCTGCATCAGCACCATCGGCGCGGTTGTCGGCGTCAACTCCACCGCCGGCGCGATCCACCACCGGTCGTTCGTCACGTCGGGCGGGGCGATGAGCTGCTCGAAGATCGATTGCGTGATTTCGGTCGGGAGGTGTGCCACGGGATAAACGATGGCGTCTAGCTGCCTTTTCAGGTCCGCAATGCGTGCAAGGGACACATCTCCGGGCAGAGCCGAGAGCGCGGACGCGTATTCTGCACGCAGGGCGTCGTGAGACATGAAAGAGGAAGTCAAAGAGAGTTTTTTTGATCCGGCCATGGTCACGATTTCATATTTCAAGCACTGCCACTGTCACACATCATCATAAGGGGTTTGTTTCACAAGTGGCAATGATAAGGTGTCTCCAGGAAGGTTAATATTATGCTAGATTGTATAGCCTGGAAAGAGTACATATTTAGAAACTAACTGAAGTGCTCTGGAGTATGAAATTTGGTTCAATGGCCAAAAATTGAATGGAGACAAGTAATAAAGAAACTCCCCAACCTCATAAAGATTGACTGTTTAGTAATCTAGTTTCAACTGCATGGTATATGATTTGGAATATGCGAAATGAAAGATGCTCAAAGACTCCTGGTAAGAATTTTCGAATTACTGAAATACATAATCACTGGTTGACAATGATAAATTCAATTTCAGTATGATAGAATTTTAAATGATTTTTTTGATAAGTTGACTATTGATCACCAAGTAGTCCTAAATACTTAGACTTCTGCTGGATGAAGACTTCTTGCCGGATAATTGGATACATGAAAAGGGGGTTTTAGTGGGTATTCTACCCTTAAAAAAAGGTGCTGGATGAATCACACCTAAGTAGAAGTCCCACACTGGCTTAAAATGTGCATAAAGGCATTTCTCCCTGAGCTTACTTCTCGGCATTTCTACTGGTATTTTCCAGTGCACCCAGCAGATGTTCTTTGAAATGCTTCTGCAGACTAAAGGCTTTTTTTTTTAAAAAAAAAAGAAGAAGAAAAAAATCACCCTGCGATCTGGTATGCTGGCTGGAAGCTTGACCGATGTATCACCTACATATACTGGGTCAACACTCTCAAGTCCCAACTCAACAATCACATTCTCTGTCTGGCCAAGATCTTGATAAGAGCCTTAATATGCTCAGACCTAATATATCACAATGTCACAGCTCACACAATGTCACAGCCCGGCTTGCATGTACTCAGGGCTGGGAGGCAGCTTTGAATGCCTCAGAGGTAAGAAGGTTGTCTTATGGAGCTTTTACAGGCTGAGTACTATAGTAATTTATTTCATTCGGCGCCCCAAAATGGTGTGACATTGGCGCCGAAATTAAATTTTCAGCACTGCCTGGTGATATGTGTGAGGGCCAAAAATTCACCTGTGTGTCCCAGTCCCCACCGTGAGTTATCAGGTCCATTGCGCCGCATGGGACCCGATAAGTTCATGATGTTTTTATCTTTTACCATAATAATAAATAATTCCTGGATATAAGGATGAATAGTGTTAAGTTCTAACACTTGTTTTTCTTCTAAGTCCATTCTAGTATGAATAATAATGAATAATTTGAGAGGTATGAGACTCAGACTTGAAAATAACACTGGTATGTGATGTCACAAAGGGTTTTCTTGGAAATTGCAGTGTTTGCCTTAAGGCCTTAAAAGTCGGCTGCCCCAGGAGCTAAGGGCTTAGAGCTTAGACTAAGGCTTAGAGCTTAGAGGGCTTAGACTACTTTAAGGCCTTAGGCACCCAAAAAAAGAAATATTTTAAGGCCCCAAAAATTGAAAAAGGATGACCAAGATAGTACTAGTTGACCTCTGAAATATCAATTTCAATGGCACTGTCATTAAGGGTTACAGACTTTGCCTCCAGATTGGTCAGACATATATATAGCACTTACTGTCAGTGCAAGTGCCTGTTGAAGTCCTAGTGTGTAGGCTGAAGAGCTTTTAAAGGGACATTGAGCCCAAAAATGAGCTAATTTGAATTTATAAATGATCTGTCCGCCCATCCTATCATAGATTACATTATAAATTATGTAAAGTCTAAGCCGTCCACAGAATCTGGGCCCAATCTCTAAGCCTTAGTTTAAGTCTTAGCCTAAGGCCTTAGGGCTTAGAGGCTGCCTAAGCCTTAGAGCTTAGGTGTTATATCCCGTGCATCTTCGGATGCTCCGAGGTTATCCTTGGAGCGCAACAGGGTTTTTAGGTATCTGAGCGTTTCCCTTCAAACAGTTAATCTGCACGCAGACTCTCTCGGACCTGTTCGGACTCTGCCTTTGTACTTAACCCGCAGGGAGATCCTGCGGACCACATCGGATCTTGATCAGATCTCCCTGCGAGGTCATATGCCTTATACTTACCACTTAGTCTAAATACTCGTACTCTACACTCCTGTACTTCAGTTTCGTTATTAACGTTTCTTGCCTCGCTCTCCGCTCTCGTCCGACTCCTCCCCGCATTCTAAGCCTTATTGCCTTCGGCTTCTCCGAACGTATCCGCAGGAGTTCATGTATTTGTTCAGACTTGCTTTCGGCCTGCAAGATGTGTAGTCGCTCACTCCGATATAGTGTCGTCCACTCGGTTCTGCTTCGGACTTTCCGTTACTTCCTTTCAGTTCTTGCATGGCACTTAACATTAGGGCAAACAGTGGGAAATTGTAATGTGGATATATCATGCTAGGAATAATTATGAATAATTGAACACTCTGGGGACTTCAGCGCCTGAGTCACGCAGTTACATAGTGTCACATAGTGTGACAAGTTTCCAAAAAAAGGAAATTTTCGCCCTTTGACAGTACAATCATCAGGGAATGTCACAGATCATCACAAAACCAAAGTTGTATGTTTTGTCAATATGGATGCACTGGCAAGTTCCAGAAATAAGTTCAGGTCTTACAATATGCTCTAGAGCCCCCAAAAATGTACTTCCCAATAAGTAAATTACATTATTAAGACCCTTATTTTGGGCACCATTAATAAGGTTTAATAGATGCCATATTAAGGGCTTATCATGGATGGGCAGTCTTATTAAGGTCTTATCTACAACACTGCTGTTAGCAAGCGAGTGTATACGAAATCAGTGGGACTGGGACTGGGCCAATCCCACTGATTCTGCCCAGTCCCACTGATTCATGTCCCATCAGTGGGATTCGTGCAGTCAAATGTGACTTGAATGTGACACATGCACGAGTCCCACTGATCAACGGGATTGTCGCGGGTCTACCGGTTGCGGCGCCGGCCGCGGCGGCCGGGGTTTTCCACCCCGGACCCCGACCAGGGCTTCGCCCCGGACCCCACGCTGCCGCTCGCCCTGCGCAGCGCTTTGCTTGATCTCCGGCGTCACGCGGTGTCGCGGTGTCAAGGCCAAGGGCATCAATCCCACTGATCAGACGGTAGGCGAGCCTGATCAGTGGGACTGGGCCTGATCAGTGGGAGTGATGCGGACTTGACCAGTCCCACTCCCACTGATTTCGTTATCCCTCTTAGCAAGCTCAGCATCACTATTCGACGGTGCCGGGATCCGCCGGCGGCACACGTGACGCGGTGCGGTCCGCGCGTGCCGAGTATGATCCGGCGGCTGAGCTTATCCTTGATTGTCTAGAACGCGTGTCCTTGATCAATACTTAGCCGTACGAATGGCGGGTGCCCACAACATCCGCGGCCGCGGCCGCCATTCAACGCAGTCGACTCCTGAGTCCTCCCGATCATTAGCACCTGCATGAGGCGAACTGCATAGAAAGAAGCACGGCGACCGGCGTGTCTGACAGTCTGACAGCCCGGGCCCGGCGGAGCAGTGGCCGGTGGACACTGCCAGTGGACGACGCCCGAACACGGGCAGCAGGCGAGCCGCGGGTGGCGCGAGCGCCAAGCCCTTCGCGCGGTACTCGTATTTAAAATTATAGACACGCTGCGCGAGATGGCCCAGCATTTCCCTTCTCCTTGTTTCTTCCCCACTTCTTCGTCTGCCTTCAATTTATCTTTTATTTTCGGGACTTGATGTCTTTTGCTGCTTTCGCGTCTTTGTTCCTCCTCGGTAGGGTGTTCGTCCGCCGTCTATCGTAGAGTACTGATCCGGCAATCGACAGGCGTCGCCGCGGCGGCGGCCGGCTCGCCCCTCGCCGGCGCCAATTCCACCGTTGATCTTGAAGCGCGCCAATTCCGGGCCCGCCCGGCCGTCTGCGACATCCCCTGCACGCCGCTCGTTCGTCTCCCCCTTCATCTCCCTCCTTCCCCACTTACTCACTCTCCCACCCAGCAACCGACCACGTGCGACCTCGCCCACGCCTTCGCCTCCGAGTGCTGCACCGCGAACGTGCTCGCGGCGCACACGCGCTGCCTCAACTGCGAGGTCGCCGTCGGCGTGCGCAGCGCCGCGCTCGGCCAGGAGGCCTTTGGGCTCTACAAGGACTTCTGCTCGGCACATGACTTCCCCGTCGCCGACACGCGCATCGACGGGTCGTACGTCGACGCCGGCGGCGTCCCGCGCGGCCCGCAGGCGGCGGCGCTCTCCGCCGGCCTCGCCGCGTCCGGCGTAATCCCGGAGCCCGCGCCGGACAGCACGCCGCTCGTGGAGACCCACAACGCTGCGGTTGGGAGGCAGCATGCGGGGTGGCTGGCCGTCGTCGTAGCGGTCGCTGTGGCTGCTGCGTCTCTGTGATTGATGACTTATCTATGATGTGACCGTGGCGGTGCTATTTGAAATAAGAAATTGTGACGACCGCCGGATCAGAAAAACTCTCTTTGACTCTCTCTTTCATGAAGCACGACGCCCTGCGCGCAGAATACGCGTCTGCGCTCGCGGCCACCGACGGCGATGTGTCCGCTGCGCGCATCGAGGACCTGAAACGGCAGCTCGACGCCATTGTGTACCCCGTCGCACACCTCCCCACCGAAATCACGCAATCGATCTTTGAGCAGCTCGTCGCGCCGCCCGACGCGACGGACGACCGGTGGTGGATGGCGCCTTTAAGCTTGCCGGAGTTAACACCGACCTCCGCGCCGATGCTGCTGATGCAGGTCTGCGCCGGCTGGCGCGCGATCGCGCTGCGGCTCCCGGCGCTGTGGGCGGCGGTGAAGATCGTGTTCCGCGGGCCGGACCGGGGGCCGCCGGAGGGGGACTTGGCCACCTGGATGACGGTGGCGTGCCCGGCGCCGCGGGTGCTCGCGCTGGAAGGGCGGGTGGTGGGGCGGGAGCGCGCGCACGTGGAGGCGGTGCTGACGAAGCACGCGGCGGGCGTGACGCATCTGTGGCTGTCGCTGAACGTGGACAGCCTGGGGCTGCTGCAGCGGAGCCGCCCGCTGCCGGGCGCTGCGCGGGGCATACGTCACGCTCACCCCGGGGCCGCTGGACGTCGACATGGGCCCGTTCCTGCCGCCCGAGTTCGTCCAGCTGTTCCGAAACGCCCCGGCGCTGCACGACGTCACCGTCCACGGCGGCATCCGCCGCAGCAGCCTCGTGCTCCCGTGGGCGCAGCTCACCGCGCTCAACGGCAGTCGCTGGTCGACCGCGGACTGCTTCGCCGTGCTGCAGGCGTGTCCGCGGCTAAAAAAGGCAACATTCACCGACCCATACAACGTGCCACTCTCGCCGCTCGCCGGCCCGGTCCGGCACGCCGCGCTCGAGGAGCTCCAGTGCTCCCCGCTCCCGACGCAGCTCCTGCACCTCTTCCAGCCGCCCAACCTCACGTTCCTCAGCACGTCGCACGCGCCGCAGCCCCCGCTGCACGCGCTCCTCCCGACCTTCATGGCGCCGTTCGCGTCCACACTGACCGGGTTCAACTACTCTGCCCACCTCGACTCGGACGCGGACCCGCTCGCGGTCACGTGGCTCGAGCCGCTCGTCGCGCTGGACATGCTCACGCTCATGCGCCCCGGGGAGGCGGTCACGCGCGCGCTGCTGCTCCGCCTCGACCGCGCCGCGCACCCGCACTTCCTCCCGCGCCTGCGCCAGCTCGTCATCCGCAAGCAGCAGCTCTTCGTCGACCTCGCCGTCGTCAAGGCCGCGTGGACGCGCTGCCCGTGCGTTCCGTACGACGAGTTTTTTCCGCCCGAGGACGCCGAGCCCGCCGGGCCGACGTCCCCCGCGCCGGAGCCCGGGCCGGCACCGGCGCCGGACGCGCCCCTGCAAACGCTCGACGCGCTCGTGTTCATCCACCACCCGTTCCCGCCGAGCGACGCGTACCCCGGCCTCGGCGGGCCGGACGCCGTGGGCGACGTCGACTGGGACGCGCTCGCGGACCTCGTCTGGGCGACCGAGGACGCGGAGGGCCGCCCGAAGATGGCCGTGCACGTCGGCACGGAGCGCGAGAATTTCGTGGTGCCGTGGGACCCGGAGGAGGAGGAGGCGGGGGATGAAGAAGAAGACGCAGCCGGGGAGGCGAAACTTGACTCTTGAACTGACACGATTGTGAGGACAGAACAGCACTACACGTACATATTGGGTCCTATTAATTCTCTTTCTGAGCTCAATGCAGATACCACTGGCATGAACTACATTTCTCTCTCTCTTTTTTACCTAGTGCTGTCCACAATTATATTATGCTAGAATATATTTTCAATAATATCATTATATTATGCCCTCTGCATATTCAGACCCATTGAATATGAGTGATTATGAATATGAATATATTATGAATATAATATATTATACCCTGGCTATAATTGATTATATTCAAATACACCAGCAAGCCCTTCAGCCAGAAGTACTAGCTCTGTAGCAGGCTACTAGCAGCAGTGGCAACATTTTCAAACTCAGTCTTTGCAATATCAATGACTCTCAGCAGTAAATCAGCCGGGACAACATCTGCATCCAGCCCTGACAGAAGGCTGAAGTTGACCTTTACATTATTGCCCCAGACTTTGATGACACTCTGGGCTGGTGAAGATATTATGATTAACCTAGAGTTTTGGTTAGGTCAATATTGAGTTGTGGGATATCCAGGCTATGTTATTAATCCTAGTCATTGCTGCAAGGAGCATCTCTGTAGAGTGCCTGTTCCTCAGCATCAAGCATAGGATGACAGATATATGCCGATTCCAGTCTGATTCTGGTTCCGACTCCGGTCTGGCCCTCCATCTCGCCTGCACAATCACCAATCCGTCAAGGCCCTCCCGACGGTCGCCCTGGGACCTCGCCTGCAATGCCACCCAGGCCTTCTGTGCCCGACAGTGGCTGCTACAGACAAGCAGTATATTGATCTCAGGCCTCCGAGGTTGCCCTTATAATTGGATTCATATATTTTTCTCTCATTTTGATCAGAACAGAAACAATTCAGGTGAACTTTGGTGCACCATCACTCCTCCAGTGGTTGTGTAGTCTATTCAAACCTAATAAGTCATAAATTAACCTCTAAAAGCTTTAGATACACTGTCTGATCACTGTTGTGACACATTCCATCACTAACTGTCACTGTCCTGGCACATTTTGAGGGCTAAAATATATTGTGATATGGACTATAGCATATCTGTATCATATGGTTCAGCCATAGAGCATATCATATTCATATTTTGGCTAATATATTGAATATATTTTCTGTATCGTATCTATGGGCAGGACTAACAACAAACATGCTGGAAAACTCTATAAAGTGAGTCAGTGGAAACAGGTGATGGCTCCTGTTTGCCATCCTCTACTTCAACATTGACCCAGTGTACATAGGCAATATGTAGGTCAAGTTTCTGGCCAGCCCAGGCATACCAGATTGTTGAACTTACTTAATATACCAGGTCAGTGTTGTTTATAAGACCCAAAATAAGGGTGGCCCTTTGATTCCAAGCCCTTAGAGCCTTGATAAGGGTTAATAAGGGCTCCATGCTAAGGGTACTCTAAGGGTGGATTTCCTGAAAAAAAAGGAAATTTATTTCTCAAGTAAAAAACTGTATGTCTGTCCTTTAAAGTCATCTCCAGAACCCTCCAGTTGTAAACCTGGAGGATTTACTTAGTTACATCACTTTTTCTTTGCTATTTATGCTACATCACCTATATGCATAGAGAGACAGAATTACCCCCCGACAAGGGTCTTAGAGGATCTTATTCATATCTCGGACCCTTATCTGAGCGGCTCAGTGTTTTCAGGCTTCCTAGTACACCTGGTTTCCACTAGTGCCCCAGCATCTGGTTCCTCATCACTATGCTCAGCCTATAGAAGCTCCATCAGTCTTTCTTCCTCTGTAAGTGCTCTTCTTTGACAAGAAACCTCCTCTTGCTGCATACTCAATATTGCTGGACATGTGACTGTTCTGCCAAATAAGGTTGCAAGGGTTGCAGGGAAGAGGTGTTGTGGGCATGCTGCTGCTGCCAGACCAGGAGGCTGCTTGTTGTTTACAAGCAAAGATAGGGTGCTGTAAGTAATTTCCCAGCTGATATTTACAGGTGTTTCTAACAGTTTTTAAAAATAGGGGTGTTTATAAACAGTTTTTAACACAAGGTCCTTGTCCCACCTTATACCATGCTTGGCTCACCTCCACAGCCCTGTCCATGCAGCCCACCCCACTCCTCCTCCGCCCCTCCTGCACCACCCGCGCTACCTCTTCAACCCTGCCCACGATCTCGCCACGCCCGTGCTGCCCCTCCTGCTGCACCCTAACCCTGCTGCTGACCCAGATCCAGTTCATGATCATCACACTGCACCCCAAGTAAGGTGTTGAAAGCCTTCTCGTAGGAAAGTAGTAGGCATTTTGGATATCCACTTTGTATTCTGTGCCAAAATAGTACAAATGTAGTGCAAAGCCAACCTCAGACCCGCCAGAACCCCCCGAATTTTTACATAGCAAAAGTTTTTTAAGGGCCTTCTAGGACCCCCTACCCCATGTCCGTGATAAGCATCTTGACACCCCTTGAGTTTGTAAACCAGATTAACTTACAGCACCCTAAGCAAAGAGTTGGCAGCATCAAGTTCCTGCATCTCTTGTTGCCACTTACCAAGCTGACAATGCCACGCAGCCATTGATTTTATAATTACTGACTTCTTGGGGGCATTGTCATCACTCCGCTATGAGCTTAGAGAATAGATACTGAGCCAGACTACTCTAAGCCCTTTCCTTAGAATGTAAATAGCCCTGACTTTCATGCTAATCCTTACCATTATAAACAACACTGATATACCTTGGATACATGCAACCTTATCATTCCCGCTTGTATAAACCCCTTATTATGATGTGTGACAGTGGCAGTGCCGCTTGAGATAAGAAATCGTGACCATGGCCGGATCAAAAAACTCTCTGTGACTCCCTCTTTCATGACGCACGACACCCTGCGCGCAGAATACGCGTCCGCGCTCGCAGCCCCGCCCGGCGATGTGTCCCCTGCGCGCATTGCGGACCTGAAACGGCAGCTAGACGCCATCGTTTATCCCGTGGCTCACCTCCCGACCGAAATCACGCAATCGATCTTCGAGCGGCTCGTCACCCCGCCGCCCGACGTGACGAACGACCGGTGGTGGATCGCGCCGGCGGTGGAGTTAACGCCGACAACCGCGCCGATGCTGCTGATGCAGGTGTGCGCTAGCTGGCGTGCGATCGCACTCCAGCTTCCCGCGCTGTGGGCCGCTGTGAAGATCACGTTTCGCGGGCCGGACCGGGGACCGCCGGTCGGGGAGGAGCTGGATACGTGGCTGACGGTGGCATGCCCAACGCCGAGGGTGCTCACGCTAGCAGGCACTGTGGTGGGGCGCGAGCGCGCACATGCAGAGGCGGTGCTGAAGAAGCACGCGGGGGGCGTGACGCATCTGCGGCTGTCGCTGGAGTTAGAGAGCCTTGGGCTGCTGCAGTGGAGCTTCCCCATGCCAGTACTGCGCCGGGCATACGTCACGCTCGCTCAGGACTTCGGCGTGGGCGTGTTTACGTCGGACGATTTCGTGCAGCTGTTCCGGGACACCCCGGCGCTGCACGACATCACCGTGCACGGGAACATCCGGCGCGGCAGCTTCGCGCTCCCGTGGGGCCAGCTCACTGCGGTGAACAGTGACAGCTGGTCTGCCGCGGACTGCCTCGCAGTGCTGCAGGCCTGTCCGCGGCTCGAAAAGGCGACCTTCACCGACGTGTTTGAATCGCCCATGCCCCCGCCGGCTGGCCCGATCCGTCCCGCCGCGCTGGCGGTGCTTCAGTGCACGCCATTCCTTCCCCAGCTCTGTGACTTCCTCCAGCCGCCCAATCTTACATTCCTCGTCACATCACACGCGCCCAAACCCCCGCGGCACGGCCGATTCCCCGCATTCCTGGCGCCGTTCTCACACACCCTCACTACGTTCGACTACGCCGCCCACTACCACTCGGACGCGGACCCGCTCGCGGTCACGTGGTTCGATCCGCTTGTCGCGCTCGAGAAGCTCCAACTCATCCGTCCGCCGGAGGCGTTCACCCGCGCGTTCCTGCTCCGCCTCGACCGCGCCACGCACCCGCAGTTCCTCCCCCGCCTGCGCCAGCTCGTGATCCGGAAGCAACAGCTCTTCATCGATCTCGCCGTCATCAAGGCCGCGTGGACGCGCTGCCCGTGCATCCCGTACGACGACTTCTTCCTGCCCGAAAATGCGGAGGCCGCTGAGCCGACTTCCCCGGCACCGGAACCCGCGCCGGCGCCGGACCCGCCCCTGCCGACGCTCGACGCGCTCGTGTTCATCCACCACCCGTTCCCGCGGAGCGCCGCGTACCCCGGGCTCGGCGGGCCGGACGCCGTCGGCGACGTCGACTGGGACGCGCTCGCGGACCTTCTGTGGGCGACCGAGGACGCGGAGGGCCGCCCGAAGATGGCCGTGCACGTCGGCACGGAGCGCGAGAATTTCGTGGTGCCGTGGGACCCGGAGGGAAGGGAGATGAAGAAGACGAGGCCCGGGGATCCGAAACTTGACTCTTGAACTGACACGATTGTCAGGACAGAACAGAAAAATGTGTTGAACGCGTAGTACATATTGTTTTTTGAACTCGACGCAGATACCACTGGCATGAACTTGATCTTCTCTCTCTCCCTCTCTTTTATCCAACTTCTGAAAATTCACGGTCCGAGTCTTTCAAAACGAATAGCGCCCATTTAGTTAGGGCATGCATCCCCAGCGCAAGGATTGCACCCGCACTCCCCTACCCCAACGGTGCACTGGCACTGGCAGACTCCAGCAATCTTGATATACCTACGTCCCAACGCGTCGAAAGAGCCGCAGCTATCAGCTTGAAATATCCATTAGTGATCATATTGACAGGTCATTAATGATAGGCATAATGCTTTCTATGTCTCTAACCCCCAAATCCTATCAAGATATTCTCTATACAAAAAGCTTTCTTCACTCCCCTTAGGACCCCCTCTTCCCCCTACCCCATGTGCCAGATAAGAGTCTTGAGTCCCCCTTGCTGTCCACTCAGCTAGTTGCATAGGCCGAGGGTCCACTAAATGCATACTGTTGCTGGCTGTCTGCAAGGTAAAGGCTGCCAGCTCTCTTACCCCATCATCCAGTTTATTTGCATCACTACAATCCATATACATATTACTTGTGAGTATCTTTTTCTATTGAGATAGGGACACACCATACAAGATGCCCAAGGCAGCGTTGGAGAGGTATCAAGCGGGTAAGGGACCACTGGCCATCCACAGCATTCACAAGCCTTATGTAGTGGTGGAGACGGTACGATGGACCAGTCTGGAGGTAGATGGTGGTCGTATGATGAGTATTGCTGCCTCGAGGCGCCCGCTGGGCTGATTGTACATGTGCTATCTAATCTTATTATCTCTTCTCCATCTTGCCCCACTCCATCTGCCCACCCCTTCAAATCGCAACGTCCTCGTTGCGCAAAATCAACCTTCATCAACAACCTCCCCTTCTTCTGCCTCATTGTCTCCCACTTCAGCTGCAAGACCCAGCTCTTCTTCAACTGCCGCTTGGACTTCTGCAAGCGCTGTTCCTGTACGCGGTATGAATCTCCGCAGCCGTCTCGCATGGAACCGTCCTGGTATTGGTAACCCTTCCAGGGTTTCAAGAATGTAAGAGTTTCTGATTCGGTCCTTCACTCTTCGCGGCGCTGACCATTTTATTACCATCTTTCTTTTCACACTGACCGTGTGATCGAGGTCGCTCCGGTAGACTTGCACCAGTTGGCCTGTGCGAAAGACAACCTCCCGAGGTGCTTTTGCCTGGACGCGTGCATCGAACTTTGCTTTCCTCTGCTCGGCATGTCGGACTATTTGGCTGTATCCGTCGAGTCTTTGCTGGTCTACATAGGCCATTTGGACCTCCACTTCCTCGTTGCTAGGCGGTTGACCAGCGATATCTGTTGGCGTACGGTTAGTATTGACCACTAGTCCAAATAGGAGCTCATTTGGGGAATATTGTAAATGTGGTAGTATCCGATTGTTCAGGATCTCTAACGCCTCGTCCAGGTATTCGGGCCATTTCTCGGGCAGTTCGTCCCATCCCGCATCTTCCCCGAGGTCAGGTGCGCACATTCGTTTCAAGATTGCCAAGAGCTTTGCGTTCATCCCTTCGACCAGTCCGTTTACCCAGGGAGAGTATGCCGGGGTGATATGCAGCACTGTCCCTTTTGATTCACAGAACTCTCGTACCTCTTCGTTGTCGAACTCTGGCCCGCCGTCAGACATTAGCGTCTCAGGTGCTGGATATTCCGTGAACAAATGTTCAAGTGCTGCCCGCGTGGTTCGTCCCGATGCCGCTGTCTTGAGTTTCTTTGCCCACACACGCTGTGCGTACACGTCGATGAACAGCGAGACTTTTGTGAAGCCGCCCTTGCCCTTTGGCATAGACAGTGTATCCGTTACCATCAACTCGAAGGGATGTCTTCGCGTTATTGGCTCTAGTAGTGAGTGTAAATGCGCTGGACCAAACCCTTTACATTTTCCACACTCGCTGATTGCGGCGATGATTGACTGGTCGAGCTTCGGGCTTGAAACTTTGCTGAGCATTTGGACCTTAATCAAGTCCCGACCGAAGTGACCGTTTTTTCGATGAATGTCCCAGGCCATGTCCTTGGCCTCTTTTTGTGTGATGCATTCCTGCCGCGACTCTGCTCTGATAGATTTGTACCCTGGTACTCGCCATAATTTGTTGTCCACAATCATATAGTTTTTTGCCCGGTGTTGCGCCCGTTTCTTCTCTCGCAAACTGTCTCCACGTTCGACCTCTAGGATTGAGTCGATGACCTGCGCAAATAACTTCTCGTCCTTGAAGCGGTCACGAAGTGCTTGCTGATCTGTGGTGAGCGCTTCTGTTGCGATGGCAAATACGTCGTGCTGAAGGCGGGTGCGTGCTTCCCAGTCCTCTGCCACTGTCCACTCGTGACCATCCCCTCGTTCTACTGCCTTATCTGCATACTGTCGACTGAGCCCGTCTGCTGCTGGATTCAATAGCCCCGGTCGGTGTCTCACGTCGGTGATGTGGTATGCCAGAACTCCGTCTCTCCAGCGTGCATGGGTAGCGTTGAGTTTTTCATTGAGTAGATTGTCTCGTAGAGCACGACAATCTGTTTCAATTTCCACTGGGAAGCCCCAAATGACGTCTGCAAACTTGTCGAGGCTGAACTTGAGTGCTGCAAACTCGAGTAGGAATGGTTTGTACTTCTCTTCACTGGTCGACGTTCTCTTAGATGCAAATGCTACGGGATGAGCTCGCGTGATTGTTCTGCCCTTGTTGTCTATCGTCTCAAACCGCTGGGAAAGCATTCCCGCAAAGCCAGTCTTGCATCCGTCAGTCGTGACAATGAAGGGAGTGCCGTCGAACTTCGGGCCCTTCAGTACAGGATCGTTGGTGAGTGCCGCCTTTAATTGTAAAAATGCATGTGTATGTTGACGCCGCCAAACACTATCCAGTTTGAACTGTTGCATTGCATGTCGATACGCGTTTCGACTGCCATGCTTTGGCATTTGGACCAGCTTGCATAGGTCAGTCAGCGGCTGCGCGATTGCTGCGTAGCCCTTAATAAGCGTGCGGAAATACCCTGTGAGCCCCAAGAAAGCGCCTAAATTTTGGATGTTTTGCGGACGCTCCCAGTTGACAACTGCAGTCAGCTTTTTAAAGTCTGGTGCAATCCCGTTTTGGCTGACTCTTCCGCCTGCAAACACCGCACTTGACAAGAAGAACCCAGATTTTGCCGCGGAAAGCGACAGGTGCTTTTCGCGCACGCGTGTCAATAGCGTCACTGTGTCTCGGAGCATTTGTTCAAAGTCGTCGCCCGCCATACCACCGTCGTCAACCACCAGCTCGAACAACAGTCCTACTAGATCGCCCATTGCATCTGCTGTGAGTTGCGCAAATGTTGAGGGTGCCCCTGTCAAGCCGAAGGGCATTCTGAGATATTTGAAGAATCCCCGACCTTCAATATAGAAACAGATATATGGCTGATCTTCCTCTGCAATTGCGCATGCATAGAACCCAGACGTGAAGTCGAATGTATTGAGCCACCGATGGCCGCTTAGACGCTGCTGTTTGAGACGGATGTCTCCCTGTGGCATTGGTGGCACTTCTGTCACCTTGTTGAGGTCGTTGAAGTCTTGACATATGCGCCATTTTGGGTCCTCAGCCGGGGCAGTCGACACTGCTGCGTCTTGTTCTATACGCTCAGGCAGGCCTTCGAAGATGGCAGGGTATCCGTTTGCCACACATTCGTCGTTGACGCGTTGCTGTAGTTCCTCTAGAGTCAATCCCCCTCCATCGTGTGCTTTCTTCGCCAAAGTCGTCATTCCACAGCACTTCACCTCACGATGGTTGATCGCTTCTATAATTCCTGCGTCTAGCATTTTGTCGACCGCTTTGTATAGATACTGCCGCTGAGGTGTCGTTAATGGTCGCTGACGCGGGTTTGTTCGGAACTTGACACTATCGCGATTTGGTATGTTCAGTCGGTGTTCTGCGCCCACAACAGGCAGTACTTCGCTCATGGATAAAGCAAAGCAGTCCGCAAATGAGCTTAGAACACCTTCCATGCGCTTGCGCTCGTCTGCTGTCAGGTCATTGCCGATCTGGATCTGACTCATAATTGCCTCGACACGCGCAGGCTTGAATGGGTCCGTTTTCCGCGTTAGGATGGAAGGGTCTAGGACATCAACCCGAATTGGTTGCTCTTGTCCAACATCGCCTTCATGCTCGGCCACATTCCATACATTGCCTTGATCCATCGCACTATGCAATGTTGAATCAATATCGAGCGGGACGGTGTTGGCCAGCGGGCGATAATGAACTTCCCTTGCGGGGGACTGTGTATTGTCCCCCTGATTTATTTCATGCTCTTGCTCCTGTATTGTGGCGGTACTTTGCACTTCCTCTAATTCCTCGTCAGCGGTACTCATTGTCTCTGTCGCCTTGTGTTCTACTTCCCTCGCGCGGGGAGTGCGCGTTGACTCCCCTGAGGTTTCACGCGCTGTCGTATCTTGTGTGTTTTGGACTCCTCCGTTTTGAACTCCCCTATATGCTCCTGCTCTCTTTGAGTGTCAGTTTTGTCCTGTGCGCCGTAAAATTCCACTGGCCTCGCGGGGGGACACACAACCGTCCCCCTCGAGCTTTATACTCGTTAATGTGTTTGCTTTTCCGCTCCCCTTGTTGCATGGCAGCACCCCTGCTGGTATTTTATCACTGGGCTCAACAAGACAGTTGTTGTATGAGACTTGCCTCGCGGGGGGCGCGCAAAGACCCCCCGGAAGCATTGTGCGCTGTTTCACATCCGTGGTATATCCCATGAAACTTTTGGTGTTTGCATTCCAAGTCGTGAATTGATTCCTGATAGACCTTTGCTCTTGCTTATCATTCTTGAGCCATAAGACATCAGTCGTGTAGTCGTGAATAGCATTGAATGCTTCCAGCAATGGTTTTCCAAACAGCATCGCCCACGCGCCTTTGCTATCGAAGATCTCGAAAGTGCC